GGGGGAGGATTTTCTTCAAGAAGTAGCAGTGGAAATCCTGTGATAATGCAAGGAGCAGAAATGCCAAGGGGAAGGTGTAACGTGTATGAGGGCTTAACCAGTCTGTGCCTCGCAAAAGACTTTTCATGCTGAAATACATGCAAACACTGGAAAATTTGAAAAGGTTGCCTTTGCACTTTTATAGATGTTTTAAGCAGAAAAGTCAGTCTGTAAAACAAAATATTGTTCAGGCCAATCTTTATCAATATGAGATTAATGAGATTATTTTAGATCTGTTTTTAAAAATGCTGTATAGCGTTTTGTTCTGTCCTTCGATTCAATGTCTAATTTTTATTTTATAGTCTGGCCTTTCCTTTGTACTTCCCCTGACTCTATCCCACTATCCACAGTGAATATCCTACTCAGGCTGGTTAGGGTATTGCTAGCTTTTTTTTGGCTTCTGAGTCATTTTTGGAACAGACCGGTGAAAGAGATTACAGCTCATGTTTTTCTTATGCGTTCCTTGGGGAAAGTGCATCAATGATGATGCAAAATAAATGCTTAAAATTTTATGTGAAACACTTGACTCCCCCACAAGCGTCTCTTGACATCCGGCTGGGATGGCAGCTTTGAAAAGGCACAGTGTTTCTCTGAGCAGTGATAATGTAAAATGCAGATTAGGAGACTGTGGAAGGGCAATCAAGAGTACTGCCATCAGCCACAAGTTCACATATCCCTGCTCTCCCAAACAGCCAGGGAAAAAAAGGAATTAATTAATTAATTAATTACCCTGCACAGAGTAATTAAGAATAACAGTGACCTGAATTTTGGTCTTTTGTCCCCTCTGTATGCAAACACACAGAAAAAATGTGAGAAACTCACATGTGAGGATTGAGAAACTTGTTACTTGAATCTGTCATAAGAAATAATGCGACTTAATTGTAAGCAATATATCGCTGCCCTGTGTTTAAGAAAGGAAGGCAAAACAGACAAACCTTTACTTAGTTACTGACATTGAGCTTTCAATCTTTAATATTCTTGCAGTCTACTCATCTGTTAATGTTTAGGAGAGTACCTCCTAAAGAGATTATCCACTGCTTTCTGTTTATAGCTGGATTACCAATCATTAGCAATCTTTAAATTCCTGAGTCTAAGGAAGCGCAGTGAGAACTGTGTACATGATATATGATTGTTTGTGGGAAGAACTAAGTTGCTAAGCCACTTAGGTACTCAACAGATGGAGGGAGAGTAGGCTAAACCATTCCTGACACATCATAGCCTTTCACTGAACAAATAGGGTTCACTTTGGACTAAAGATAAGCTTTTGTTTATTTATTATTGTGTCTGATTAGATCACAGTAACCTACAGGACACAATTACAAATTTTTCCGGTGCTAATTAGTCTTCTGATTTGGGCAATATGCTGTCTGTAATGTTAAATGTTCTTTGCATGAATCCCTAATATGTTGTTTTAAAACATAAAATTCCCACCATTTCCCATGTTTCTCATTGTCATTTTCAGGTACACTTAAATAATTACACCACTCAGTTAAATTATATTTTCATTCTAGAAATATGTATACAAAACGTAAAAACATACTCCAAATACCACCTTCTTAAATAGAATTTCCAGCAAAAACAACCATACAAAAGAAAATTTCTTGGAAGATTGTCTTTTTGTTTGTAGTCCCATTTCTGTAAGCTTCAACTTAGAGATGTTACACTGAATTTTTATACAGGCTTCAGATGTTTCAGAAATAAATCATAAAATCTTCCCTAAGACAGAGTTCAGGTTTTGTGATGCATGTTGTTGAAGTGTTGTGCTTAACTCCTGTGTTTCAGGATCTGCTTGCAGGATGCTGTTCAAAAACAGACGAGGTTCTGTGATTAGGAATCCATCATTGCATCACATTAAAGCTACCATATCACAATAAGGGATTGTCCAAGGGCTCACAGAAGGAAAAGTGGGTCAAATAATAGTTGATGAGTTCCATTCATTACAGCATTAAATGTTTTTGACAGATGTGCATTTTTAGTGCTTCAGGACATACTGTTTATCATTGAATGTAGTGCAGGAACTAGGCATGGAAGTTGGTGCACAGTAGTGGAAAGAGAAAATAAAATACATGTAGAGGTATGAAGTTCCTTCAAGGAGAAGTAATAACAACACATTTACTTTAATGAGAAGCTGTTAAAGAGAATTACACTGTTCTGTGCAGAGAATGCCTCTTCCCTTTCTTGCAGCTGCACATGAAGCTTAAATGTACTACTTTTGGAAGGACTTTCAGTGTTGACAGTATAAAATTGTTTTTTCAGTTGCACCAGCATGATATTTACAGTCTGATTGCCTCATTTCCCCCACAATTAACATAGTTATATAGTTTTCTGTTTGCTAGCAAACCTGTAACTAGCACTAAGGGGTTAAAAGTAAGCAATTTCAGGGGACTCCCCCAGAACAAGGGACAAAATGTTTGTGTGCTCGGAGGAGCAGGGCAGTGGGTCGAGCTTTGTGTTGGACTCACTACCCTGATTGCAAGGGAAGGGCAATGGACAGGTGATAGGGGAGGTAGGAGCTGGGTGATTAAAACTTGCAGAATGTAGTTCTCCTTTACCCCTAGGAAACACTTCAGAAAAGTGTTTTAAAATTGTCAGTTGGGGATTTCTCTCAATCTTGATAACCAGTGTTTTACTTAATGCTTATTACATGATGCATTGGCACAGAATTTTCCTGTGCCCACACACAGGAGCATGGAATGGTGTCACAGCAGATGAGCTTAGAAGGGATGTGAGGACATTTTATCCAGCCCTCACTCAGAGCAGGTGGAAGCAGCCCAATTTACTCAGGTCTCTCAGCCCATTCCAATTTTACATCTTCCCAAAGCCAGGGAGATTCTGCAGTCTTTCTGGATGCCCTGTTCCCACATTTGAGCATTGCCACATTGAATCTTTCTTGCTTCTAACAAAAACGTCTTACGCTCTGGCTTGTGTCTGTGGCTTCTTGTCCTTTCCCTTGGGAGCCCTGATCCCTCTCTAATCCCTGCTGAGGGTGGTGTTGAGCCCTGCCCTGCCTGCTGTCAGCCGTGGCGTGGCTCGGAGGTGATGCCTGGCGTGGGAGGGATGGGGTGCTGGGAGCCAGGCACGCACCTTGAGCACAGCTGCTGCTCTGACCTGCTGGGAGCTCACTGTGCTGCTTGGAGAGAGCCTTCTTTGCCAGCTCGGAATCTGTATGGGCACTCTGGGAAGCTCTTCAAATGATCACATTCTAAGTAAAAAAACCCCATCCAAACAAAACAAAACAACCATGAAAAACTCAAACCAAAACTCAAAAAAAAAAACCCCACCCCACAGAAAATCTAATGAGTATAGCATCTTCTATTTCAGATACATTACTCATTTTTTATTTTTTTAACCAAATTTTCCTTCACTTTTAGCTATATATTTATGTATGACTTATTTAAGTATTTAGTAATACATCTAATATATTATTTAGTAAGTATTTAATAAACATGTAATATATTAATAGTAAATGTCAATATAAAATGTTAAATATTTATTCACAATGCATAAATATACAAAATTGAAGTTAAAGCAAAAAAAAAAGCATACACAAAAAAAATTTAAACTATTCTAGAGATTAATAAGAGAAACCTTTATTATAATTACATGGATTCAGTATGGGTTTTTTTACAAAGTTGCATTTGTTGAGGGAGATTATTTTTTAAATTTAACATGATGATGTAATTGTCCTTCTTCCACTTAACAAATATGCTGCTTCACAGGTTACAATAGGAGACAACTGGTGAACACAAAATCACAGCCAAAAATTGGTCAGTGCCATAAACACTTAAACAGTCAGTGCCATAAACAGTTACACAGATTGCCATAGGCTCCCTCCTGGCAAGTAAAGGTGATATGGCATTTTTAACATACTAAATAAATCAATCAGTGCATTAGGATTAGCTAATGTCTGATGCCTAAGAAAAGGATATGGATAGTGCAATGTTAACTTAATCCTGCAGCCTTCTTTTCATCCATAAAAATGTGTCAAGGGAGATTTATCCACTTTTACCTTAGAGAATCATGCTGAGGGATCGATACTAGAGCTCTGAATATTTTTCCCACATGGAGGCTAAATAACTTTTCTATCCATAACAGGTAATGCTGAGGTTATTTTTCCATAACGTGTGAATGTTTAATTATGTCTTGAAAAAACTATTTTCTTGAAAGTTAGTAAAGATGGAGCAATGTCATACTAGAATTATATTTTAAAGAATGTTGGTGTAATAGAGATCATCTTAGTGTTCAGTTTGCTGTACAGACGCATGATGCTTTTTAATTAAAGGATTGCATCACCCCCTGTTTTTTGCCTGTTCTCTTAAAGTCCTTGGATAAGGAATGGGAGTGTAGGATTCAGAATATGATGGTTGTTTGCTGGTCAGTATTTAAGCTTTTGCTGTCTAAATGACTTTTGGGAATTACTTTCCACTCAGGACTGTGATAATACTACTGTTCAAATAGTTGAGACATTAAGTTTGTTTCACCTGTAATACATAAATGCATATACAATATATGCAAAAAGTACAAGCATAGATGCTTAAATAATGATCTTGTAAAACCCTTTTGCATTTAATTGGTTTTGAGAATCAGAACTGCTTATATTTAAGTTATTCTTTGGTTGCTTTCAAAAGTCTGCATTACGGAATTTAGCCATGCAGGTTTTTTTTTTACAGCTGTGTGCAATAAACCCACTTGCCAGAGTAAGTAGAAGCAAAGTAACAAAGGGGAGGAATATGTGATTAAAATATAAATTCAATTCTCTGGATACTGCATGCAGCTATTTAATTAAGAGATTATCTGGATAACTGAAGAACAGAAATAGCATCTGTTCTAAATTGCATCAATGAATATTAACTTGTGTTAAGAGAGAAGAGTTTAAAAAAAGAAAAGTAGAAGAGGCAAGGTATGTTCTTGTGTCAGACTGTAGATGAGGAAATCACATGGTTCTTTATAAAAGGCTGACTTTTTCCTCTTATTTATTGTCGAAGAGAATGAGCAGTGGCGTATCCTTGTTTAATTTATCTTCCTGTTAAAAATACGGAAAAGAATTCTTAATTAGAAGTCACCAATAATTTCAGGAGTATTTTATTTGTCATGGTCCCTTTGCATGCTCGGATCATGTGGCAAGACAGCCAAAAGGAGTTTGTTGAGATTTTTATACCACTCCTGTTTATGTACCAACATTTTTGCCTTCCCTGAGCATCATTGTCTTTTCTTTGCAGTTCATGTATTACCAATTGGGAAATTCATGAGCCAGCAAAGCTCAATTATACTTCAGAAGAGACATTCTTTGGAAGGAGGTACAACTATGTACCTATGTAATGCCTTACCTGGAAACCTTTGGAGTAGTTTTGGTGCTGGTGATGAACCTTTGGAAGTACCTCAAAATTTTCCAATTCAGTGTTTACCCATGATTCCAGAATAAGAAAAAAACCCTGCTAGTTTAGCAGGAATTTTCAGCCTCTGAATATTGGCCTGATAACTGATGGTGTTGAAATGAATTGTGGAAGTCTCTGTGACATGTTTGGAAAGCAGCTCTGAGTGCCTTTAAACTTGGCTTGATGTTAATGGGTTTTCAGAGGATTGAGCTTGTTTCAGTCTGCCTGCGTGAGTACAGCAGTACAAGAGTACTTTAGAAGGGGAAAAAAATGATAGTCTGAATGTCTCCTTACACGCTCATTGCTACATCTGGACTAGTTTCTGTATTTTACTCAGCTGTTGAGAACTCCAGGGGCTGTAAATAGCAGTTATTCAGTGATATTCTGTCAAATACCCGATTCTCATTATAATTCTTTATGGAAAAAGTTGAGATAGGCCTGGAATTGTGTGTGTAGAAAATTCATATGGGCTGAACAGGATTTTTAAAACAATTGCTTGGTAGTATCACATCTTCCTGATCTATTGTTTCTTCTCATTCAGTTTTTTTCCTTGGAAGATCTGTCTAGATTGGTTAATGAATAGTCCCATTCATTTAGTTACAGTCTGTTTTTGTGCTTCTTGCTGGGTAAGCAAAATTAATTGAGAAGCAGCAAAAAGGCAACAAAAGGAGGTATCAGATCTGTGAATTCTTTCCTGTTTTACCCATTCCTACTAATCTTTTTTTCCATTTCCATGCCAGTCAGGGCAATGGTGACCTCCTCTGGAGGTCCTCTGGCCCCCTCAGCTAAGCCTGGAGCTCTTAAATATCTTCCAGTTTGTCCAGTTTGGCTTCCCCCTCAGCAAAAGCTTATTAATTCCAAATTCCTGTAAATTTTTTAATTTAGTGTGCACCACTGAAAATTTGCTTATAAATTTGTTTTCAAATTTGGACTTCATTTCTGGTAATTCATTCTTTTGCCTTTTACTTCTAATGTCTTCTTCCTAGACACCTTACCTACACCTTGCATCTTCAGGCTGCCTACATTTCTTAGAAAGGATTTGAAGGAACAGGTGAAGAGATGAAGAAATGTTCACTTTTCATAGTCTTTATGTTTGGGAGGTACCATAGACCAAAATGGGGTATTACATGATTTGCATTGTATTTTAATTTATAATTTGTATTTTAATTTTTAATTAATATTATGTATTTATATATAGTTTAAGCAGTAGTTCAGGTTATGCTGGAACACAGTGGATGAGTATCATCAAACCAAGAATCTCTCTGTGTGCCTTGGTGGCTTCCAAAATCCCTTTCCTTTGCAGCTGATTTTTCTTCAATTGTCTTTATTTGAAAGAACATTTTAGATTTAGTTCACACAAAAACTTACATCAAAGAGGTGTCTGACACTTTTGTTTTTATCAAAGCTGAACTTATATAAACTATATATCATATATGTGTATAATATATTACTATATTACATTATTTTTAAGTCTTTCTGATACCATTTTATTTATTTCAGTACTTACAGTCATGGACTTGCAGGGGAATGGAGGTTCTTGGTATGCATGTCCACCAGCCTGCCTGCCTGGTTAATTTTCTGTGCAGCTCAAGGGACATTGAGCCCATTGTGTTCCACGTGGGATGATGGAATCCTTCTTTCCAGCAAGGAAAGACATTGGGCATTAAATTCTGATATATCTGAAATGTAACAACAAGGTTCAATTTGAGATCCATTTCTTTGAAAGGAGGGAAGGCTGAGCCTCAGCAGTAAGACACAGTAATAACATACATTATGTATTACAATTACTACTTTAATAGTTATTAGGTCATAATGATCTGGCACAAATTCAGAGCTGTGTCATTTTACTGCTGAAGTTTTGCAGAACATGAATATCTACTTTTGGAGTTTACTGCCTATGTCAGAATTCAGAGATGAAAATACAAAGTTTTCTTCTCTTCTAAACTTCCTGTTTTTCTTCATTTCTCAAATTTGGCATAAAATTTGACTGAATTTGGGCACTTAAAATAACTATCAGGAGGGATGGGCAGCTGGCAGCTGCGACCAGCTTTCTGGGGAGCATTGCTTTCCTCCCCCTGCTCATGGTCTGCTAGCCCTTTCCCTCAGGAAGGAGTGCTGTGGGTCTTCAGGCGAGTAGAGGAGAGTCTTTGGCTTTGTATGTTCTTGATCTGTGCCTTAGTTAAACCATTGCTGTTTCTTGCACTCGCTGTAACCAGAATATGTGGGTAAGGATGTATGGGTGAAATAGCACCTTGGATTTCAAGTAGTGGGGAATAGAATTGAAATATACTTTGGAAATAATCTTTCTCTCTCTCTCTTTCTCTCTCTATTTCTCTCTCTTTTTTTATATTATTATTTTTCTAAAACTACTTATTTTTATTTCATTTATACAGTTTTGAACAAGAATCCAAAGTATGATTTTTCAGCTGCGTCAGGACATGTCTGATTCTTTCAGTCATTTTGCTGTTAGTGCTCAGCATTTCCATCTGCCAGATTTTGCTAGACTTATATGCTATTTTTCTCCAAATTAATTTCTCATAGAAGTACTTCTGTATCTCACAAAAACCCCCCACTCCTTTTCTTCTTTTGAAGTTGTGATTTTGGCTTTTGGATTTTAAGCTTCATGCAGCAAATTGATCTGCTACACATCCCCTCTGGCCAAAACTGACTTCTGCAGCTGTGATCTTTGCTTTTCTCTGGTACTGAGCCATCCTGCAAAAGGTGTTCCCTGTACTAACTGTCTGTCTTCAGTCTCAGTCTCAGCTGGCACCCTGATAGACATAGTGGATCTGTCTTCATTGTAATTTGTGGTGAGGTCAGGCTGAGTTTGGATCACTTACTGCGTGTTTCACAATAGCACATCACTGGACTGCTGGGATACCTCATCCCACCTGAATAACCAAACTGCCATCAAAAAAAAGATGTTAAAAACACAAAGTCATGCTGCAGGGTTCTCAGCACTTAGGAGACCATTGCAATAGTGCTCTGGAGTAGATTAAATGTTCTTTTTTCTTATAAAAATAATTTGACACCTTATTGAAGAGAAACAAATGTGACTGAGTCCATGGAGAATGCCAGTATTTCTCTTTATTAGTCAATACCTGCAACCTGCCAAATTTGAGATTTCCATTTCTTTCACCATAATCTGGTGTACATTTTATTTTACTGTATTATTAGTAATGGTAATCCATAAAAAGTAGTGAAGAGAATAGTTTATTGTAAAATTACTGATTGCTTTTACTGCCAATTATCTTGTTGGGGTTTTCATAGCCATTATTTGAGAAGGGCTTTTTCCAGTCTTCACATTGTTTCTAGCACAATGGAAACAGACACTAGGGACTGTCCTGGGTGCATTACTGCACCACAATGGTTTAATAACAAAGCCCTCTCAAACAAAACTTGTGCTCTTGGTTTTGTGTGGGGGATCATTACTGTTTAATGAACCTCACAAGGTTCATGACTGAAGCTATGGAGGAGATGGGATATTGTTGGTGGGATATTGTCATCACTCTGATGGCCTGCATTAAGGTTCTTACACATTAGCAACAGGCCTTGGAGGTGGTAGATAGAAGATTGACTTAGCTGTAGCTGTCAGTGCATACTCTTATGGTAGGAGGAGAACAGCAGTTTGAGGTACCTTCCATAAGGGAGGGTTAATGTTGATTTAATTATTTTGCATTGCACACACAGTGATTTTCATCTAGATGGTTATCATGTAGCAGTTGTCTCTTGCTGACTAATTTCTGGTTCCATAAAGAAGTCCCCAGTTAATTAAGCATTTTTGAAAGGCAAAACAACAACCTTTACTTTGTTCTTACTACTCAGTAGAAGGACTTTTATTCTCATCTGTTTTAGCAGAAATCAATATAAGCTGTAAGACAGCTAAAGTTTTGGTAGAACAGAGAAAAAGCTTGAGTATGAAGAGCAACTCTTGTATCTAAAATGCATTTTGTGTACAAGTCAGAGAACTCATTTTGTGCATCTGGTTTTCAAGCACCTACTCCAGAAAAAGCTCAGAAAAGTCAGCTGAAATAATAAAATACAACTTCTTTTCTAAACAGAGACATTATGGCTTTTCCACAAATTTGCCTCTTAGTTCAAAGGCATAACATTAAGACACAACAATTACTGTTTGTATTTTTCTTGTGCCTTTTTTATTGAGTTATGACATTCATCAGAAATAAAATTAAGCTTAGGGCATGGAAGATGGAGTATGTTCAATATTTAAAAGCTTGAATTTAAAGCACATTTTGATAGAGACCCTTTTTTGGCAAGTCAGGCTTTTAACCTAAAGGTTACCTCCTACCAAAGATAAGTAAAGTAGGATTAATTTAATACTGTTTTTATGATGCCTGCCTGATCAGATAAAATAATTTTTAAAACTTGAGTTGAAGCAATGTCTTGTGCCTTTCAGGGTAAATATGCAATAACATGCATGATATGTTCAAGTTGCTTTTAATTCAAAGAACTGTCAAACAGTTTTCAGTTAACCAGTTTACCAAGATTACCAATTCTCTGCATCTCTTTCTGTGGCAATCACCTACTGTTGATGTTCTGTGTGGTACCAAAACTGTTTAGACATTAGGCTTAAATTGTCATTTGCAAAGTTAAGTAAAATGTTAAAAGCTCTATATTGCCAGAATTGCAGTTGCAATTTAAAGCTTGACTGCCTGTTTTCCCCCTCCTGTATTTTCTGCACTGTTCTTTTGTGCTCCTTGCAATTGGAGTGATGCTCATACTTCTAGAGATTTTTGAATTCTTAAGAGGAAAGATTTTCCTTTTTTGGTTTTTGGAAAAAACCCCAAAAAAACCTGGAGGGAATCCATTTGATATTTGCACAGTTCTTTAGCCAGCACTTTATGTTATTTGTTCCTGACCCGGGATTGTTGCCTGCATGGGCCATGTGTGGCTCTTAGGCTCAGCTTTCACACCTGAGCATGGATGGACTCCTGTGCCCGAGCTGCAGGAGCACCTTTGTGCAGCTGCCTTGCGTCTGGGGCTGATGCCTCAGTTGGTCGTGAGCAATGAACATATTTGGATAATTCTTTACCTTCTGGCATGCACGTTTATTGGTTTTGCTCTTGAAAAATCTTTGAAAACGTTGCTTGCTATCAAGACTAACGTGGTTGATGGCATCCTTTTGGACACTTTACTGCAAGGGACCAAAAGCTAAAACTTTATCTGATTACGGACAATACTGTATTTGTGGTTATTTAGTTTACCAGTACTACAGAAAAGGCTTTTAAAAATTGCCATTTCATGCTATTTTCCAATTATTTTATTTGCAAGGAAAAGGTATGTCACCTGAGAATTAAGCCTTCTGATCTTGTTTTCCTAGTTTCTAGCCACTTTCCCAGGAAAGTAACTATAAACATAGATGTTTATACATTCCATTAAAGAAATGTCTTTTGATAGACGTTTCTCACTACCAGTGGGGTTGGGAAGGTGGTGACCTGACTATCCAATCCCTGGTCATTGTCGAGAATCTATAAATACTGGAATCATGGAATAAATCGCTCTCTTTTTCCTATCACACATTGAGCTGTGTCCGTGTGAATCATTTCGTGTCAAACAGCGACAAAGGTGCTCTTTTGGTAAGATTTTTTTTTTTAGAATCTTAAGAGTGTTTAATCAGTAACAATAAGGTTAAAATTAAAGTTTGCAAGATTGAAGTTTTACCAGCTTGGTTGTTCTGATATCCCATTGTATGTTTATTTTCCCACACCACTTATCTAACTTTGTCATCCAAGGCAGTGGTTTATTCACCATTGGGGTGTTTTAGGGGTAAAAAGCAGCCAGGAGTTACATATACTTTGTATTAATTGTCTGTCTTGCAGTTTTGCAGTGAATGTTAACTTTGTAATTTATGTTTTTCTTGACAGTACTAGCCTTTTGTTAGTAATATTAAAGAGGGATTTACAAGAGCTTTTTTGAATTGTTTTCTCTTTTTCCTTAAGTTTGATCTACAGAGGGTTAAGAACAGTAGTCATGCCCAAGAAAATAAGCCTTTCAGTATTGATGGATATTCTTGAAACCATAATTATAAAATACTATTTCAGAAGATGGGTTTCTAAAAAGCTTGGGTGTGTACTTTTTGGGTTTTTTTTTAAATTATGGATTCATAAAAATATCTAAGGTTATATGTGTAAATATATTCCAGCAAAGTTTTGTGAGATTAATTTGCCCTCTTCCTCTAGTTCATTCACAGCTCTTCTTTTCGGCAAGAGTCACAGCCTTGCCAGTTTTCTTAGAGAATTAACACTAGCTGACTGAAAAATATTTAGATGTCAGTATTTTATACAGATATTGGGTATGTTCTCTTCATTCATTATACTAGAACGGGGTACCCATTAAAATCATGCTAAGATAACTGAAAGGCTTACTGTATTGGCTTTCTAGCCTGTCATACACAGATTACACCCATTTTAATCTGCTATCTGGAGTATATCCAGCTTCTGCTAAATGGTGTCTGTTTTACTTTTAAAAGAAATGTGCAGCTGTTTGTAGCCAAAATACAGTTACTGTGAGTGACAGTGATACCAGCTGTGTGCTGCACTCTTCAGCTGCTGGAGTAACTGAACTCAGAGATGCCCCTGCTCTCTTCCCTGCACTGACACAACAGATAGAGAGGTTCTTCTGTAGCTTTTATAGTTCTGTGTCACAGAACTATAGCATGGGATAAACAGCACTTTCCCTCCTCTGCTTGAGCAAATCTGGACAGAAAGTTATGCCTCGTATTTTAGTTTCCCTTACAAAGGTGAAATGTTTGTCTGGAGCTTCACTTTTCTGCCCACAGCAGGTCAGGAAGTTGCATCTGGAAAACAAAGCTCAGAGGGCTCAGGTCAGTTCTTAAGGTTCAGGAGTTTGCCAGCTTCCACAGCCATCTCCACTGCTGGCATGTGGCAGAAACAGCAGTGAGCTCACATTTAATCCCGTGTCTGGTTTTGTATCCAATAACAGAGATCTAAGGATGTGGTGTCCTACCTGCTTAAATACAATATGCAAGGACTATTGAAGGCATGCACAGAGAGATGTTTGGTCAATCCCAGAACAGTAAAGCAAGGTGTTCCTGTGGGGAAAAAAATAGACCAAAACTCTTTAAAAAAAACCAAACACCCAGTCCCAAAATGCGCATGTATAAGTGCATCCTCCCAATTTCCCACACCACTGAGTGCTACACTTTGCATTTGGTTCTCCAAAATTTCAAATCCGTCACAAATTTGTGTATAGAAAATGTCCGTAATAAATTTGAATTTATGCAGTAAATTTGGACACAAAGAGTTGAGTTGTGTAAAATCTTCAGGTGAGCAAAACTCATTGTAGTTTCTCTGCTTGTTTAATTTTTCCACAGTACACAGGGTGGAGTGAAAACCAGCTGTAAAAGAGACTTTCCTTGGGGTTGATGAAGTTAATTTTGCTATTGTTTTCAAGGGGGTAATATCTTTGTGCCTGATGTCATAGCAAATGTTGAAGTTGAAAAATGTCCAAAAATAGTGTTGGATTGAGTCACTTTAAAAGTGTTTATCCTGAATCCCCACTTTGTGGCATTATTACTGTAGTCTCATCCCAAGCTAGCATTATTCATTAATGCCGGCTTATCCCCATGATCTGTCGTTCTCTTTGTTTATTTGGATATACTTTGTGTGAACATTTGTAACCCTCTGTTTCTTGCTGCATTAATACCATATTTTAAATTGCACTTAGAGCTGGTGTGTTTGAACCAGTTATGCTGTCAGACCTGGGAACGCCTGTTCTTGGCTTGTGTTAAAGTCTGTTACCCCACCTACCATATTAGGAGGCATTAGAAAGGCTAAATTCCTCTGGAAATACAGACTGTCTCATTTTTGAAGCATTGGTGTGATTAACTGTAATGTAATACACTTGGTATGAATGCTTAATGGATAAACATTCTTTTGCTTACTCTAGGCAGTTTTACATCTTACTAGGATGCAATTCATTGTACTAAACAGTGTGAATGTGAAACTATCATTAGCAAAAATGCAGTCAGCCAAAATGAATTCTGCCTGCAGGTGCAATTAAGGAATTGGTAAGTCTACAATATAAAGTAATTGAGTAGTGGTCTGGCACTGAGAATGTGGCATTGCACACTTTCCATTTGAAAGATGTTTACAAAACACAGCAAACCTTTTGCTGTATTACAGAAGCTTTTCCATTAATCCTCTTACACTCTGCCTGTTTGTCCATTTTTATACACAAGCAATGGCATCAACAGGCTGTACTGCTGCAGCCCTCCTACCAAATTAATGCAACACCCCACTAATGGGTCTCTTTTACATCACTGCATGGTGATGTTAATGTGAATGTAGCAATAGGCTACTAAAAGGCTTTAGATTCCAGAGAATCATAAGTGTTTCTGTTACTGTGGAAGAATATCTGCTTGTACTAGAAACTATAGAGATAACCCTCTGTAACATGTTCCATCTGAAATTGAGTATGTTTACCCTGTACAGAAGACTGAAGGGCTGTCTAATACTGAATGTCATACTTAGCTATTCTTTAACTCATAAGCTGTGTATTTATATAGTAGTATATGTTTAAAGAAGAGTTTATTACATCTCATGATGTTTTTCTTAGTAGAATATAATAGAATTTCCCCCACTCATCTGAAGATTTTAAGCACTATGTTTAGTAATCTCATCTCAGTTAAAGAATTCATTAAGGACTTCCCATTAAAAAAAATAAAATCCAAGCCTCTCTTGAGATTTTTATAAGAATGTAAATATTGTGAAAAGTGGTGGTGGAACACCTTTAGAGATTCATAAAGGCTCTTGCTATGAGCTGGTGTGGTGGTACATTTGCCTTTTATCCCTTGGTCTGAGACAAGGCTATAAATTGGTTTCTGTCATTGGAGATCCTTCTCCCTTGCCCCTGCAGCCTTTGCTGTGTCTGCAGGAGTGTTAGCAGTTGGGCAATTAGTACCAAATGCCATAGCTCCTGGGAATTAGACAAGGTGTGTGAGAGAGTCATAAAAAATCCTGGAGAAGTTGCAATTTTGCAACCTTAAAAAGCCCAATAGGGTTTGTGTTGATGATGTAATATTGAGAAAAGCAGACACCAAGACAGACTGTTTCCACCTAGCTCTTTTCTTCTACCTCTGCTTTCTTCTCTGTTTCAGGTAAAGAGATAGATAGCAATGTGTACTACTTATAGTACATTTAAACGATTTTTATATATAGATTTATATAGGAGAATTGTATTATTTTTGTTGTTTATAAAATATTATAATTTCACAATAAAACTCAGGTTGAATTAATTATTTCTGTATAGTTTATACATATATATGATTTGTATTGTCTGCAAGCGAAGAAAAGCAATTGCTTATGAAATTTTTTGTGGAGTTATTTTTAGTGACCATGGAGGTTACACAATTTACCTCTGCTGATATTTATTTTAAATAGAATGTTGTATGCATAGTCAATATTTTGTTTCTAGTGTTTTGTTTATCTCTTGCCTCTGGCAGAGAACATTTGTGTAATTTTTACTCTGCATTTAGACCTCTTGACTTGTAGGCTGAGGGAGAGTGAGATTGCTGGGAGAAGAAACACTGATTCGTTGATTCATGGTGACTTTGCTACTGTATGGCAGTCTGTACTAATTGGTACCAAAAGCAGCATTTGCTCTTGGCTAGCTTATGTGTCACACTTAAAGGCAGAAGGAAAATAGCACCATCAGTTAGGATGTAGATTGGCAGCAGTAAAAAGATCTGGAAGAAATACTGCAGCAGATTCAGGAATAAATGTCTAGGGACAGAAACTGGAACTTTGATTCATGCTCTCCTATCTGTTTAAAGTTGTTTGGACGCCAGAGTCGAGATTTGAGCCTGTACTGTATTTTAATTAATTTGTCAAACTCTGCTCACTTCAAACATTCTCTTTTGCCTGCTTATTTCAATGTTCAAAGATACAATGAATTCTTGAGCATGCTGGTTTGTTACCTTGGCAATAGAAGGAACTGCCAAACGAGTGATAAAATATATCGGCTATCATTTTGGAGATTCATATTCTTCTTAAATACGCTTGTTCATATTTTTTCTTTTTTTTTTTTTTTTTTTTTTTTTTTTTTTTTTTTTTTTTTGTATAGCATGGCTATTGGAGTGCTCTTGTTGCAACTGCATCTTTGTTCTGCTGGATAGAGACACTCTCAAGGTGTAGGCAAATGTTTTTACTTTTCCCTGAAGCAGGAAAAGTCAGCTAAAGACTGGTTCAGGTTTGTAGGTCAGTACCACGCTGCTGTAAATGCTAAGGTGTTAAACTGCTATACCCACAACTCTAATCTCTCCAGGATCTATGAAAGTCCAGTAGGAGGGACCTTTGGATGAACCCTGAGCTTAATGGGAATCCAGGATTGTCTCTAGGCTCTTTCCCCTGCAATTGTCAAACTACCATAGTGAAAAATATAAAGCTTTTTTGTCTTCATGATTTTTATTCTCTAAATAGTCGATAACGGACCACAAATAGACAGCAGCAGTTGCAAAGTACGTTTTTGTTGGTAAGTTACAGTAGTGCTAAGCAGAGTTAAAGAAAAAGGCAGGATGAGGCAAAGGGCTGAATTACATATGAAGGGTACATGCGAAGTACATAACACTGAAAAAGTCTCCTTGGGATTGTTATATGATCAATAAGACTCCGGGAAATCACCTCACTAGTCATTTATACCTCCCATTACACTGTTGCATCCAAGCTGCTGCTTTAGAAAAACCAGTCCACTATCAGAGAAGATTTAGACCCGGGTATGCAAAACTCATCAAAGAGAATTGAGTGAAAATTGTTTGGCCTGTACAATTAATATAAAACAGGACAGTACTGTGACTTGCCATTTGTATTAATGGTTATGACAAAAAAAAGAGTGAGAAAGGAAAATCCTTACGGAATTGTGACTTGTCACTGTATTTAAAAAAACAACAAACAAGCAGGAATATTCAGATAAGTCTGTCTGTATATCTTTGTCAACTCTAGGTCTCAGTGTACCTTGCTATTTTACTCACTTACTAAAACAGACACACAGCAGCCCTAATAGAGCTACAAGTTCCATGTGAGCTGAGGTTTTACTCTTCAGTAACAGGGCTTACCTTTGCTTGCTAATTACGCTGACCTGTTTTGACTAGAGTAGCAGCATGAGGTCTTTATGTGGGGCATGCATCTCATTTACTGCTACAGTGATTTTGTATTTTTCTGCTACATAGACAAGTAGCAATGTAAATTGTAATAAAACTAGTACTTCAGCAATAAAACAACTACACACTGAGTAAATAGTAAGTGGATATAAACAATAATTTTCACTGCTTCTAGGAAACTACTTAATGAAAACAAGTGTTTTAAAAAATTCACACCAAAAGTGAGCCAAATAGCAGGGACAGGGAGGATGATCCATGTGCAGTACCACCTAGGCAATTTTGGTGTATAAAATTTAAGATACTAGTTTCAGTGAAAGAAGCCTAACAGAGGAGTCTGGCTGGTTCTTTAACTACTTATACCATGAAGCAAACACACCCTTATGTTACAGGACTACTGAATGTGTGTGGTTAGCCCATGCATTTTAATGCTTGTCTCCCACCAGGAAACACCACTGTGGCATGGTTTGAGTTTAGGAGGATGTGCTGTAGTGCACAGAGGTGTATAGATCCAAACTGAGATGTGTTGGCACTGCTGCAGGACAGTGACACTGTGGTTTTCTAGTACAGTTGGTCTTCATGATGTTCTAACAGGTAGAAACCTTGATAACTTGTTCCACTTGTCTAAAACAAGAGTACACAGAGATAATATTTTCCAGTTTGCCTCAACAAATTGAACAGTTTGTCTGTGTGTCACAGCAGCTGCTCCTGGCTTGTCATATGTCTGAAGAGGTCTCTCTGGAACGGAGGAGTCTAGGGCCCAGATACTTTTAGGATTTTAGAAACATAAATCTGCTGTGCAGGTCTCTTTGCCAGAGTTTCAGGACACTTAAAACAGATCTCTCTCCTACAGAGCTTTCTGAGGGAAACCCCAGGCACGGATTTGATGTTAGACAAGCAGTTTCTTTCAATATTGCTGTTGTGTTAGTGACGGCTGATGCCCACACAGGCTTTAGGGGAGCATGAAGCCAGGAAAGCTGGAGGAAGCCTCCTCACTGACTCACTGCCTTTGACTGTGACAACGCAACCACTTTGCAGAGAAAAAACTTTTAAAAAAAATAGTCACCAATTTCAGACATTGCCAGAGCTTCCTCTCCTCCCTGAAGCTATGCTGTAGAAAGATTTTAAAGCAGAAGGTAATGGTCAAATTGTGATTTCTTCTCCTCATTTAGCTTCTTCAGCACAGAGAGGTTATCCTCAGTGTTTCATTATAGATAATCTAAATCTTCTCCCTTGCAGTTTAAATCTATTTCCCATTGTCCTGTCACTACATGCTCTTGTAAATAGTCTCTCTCCATCCTTTTTGTAGTCTTCCTTCAGGTGTTGGAGACCACAGTTATGTCACCCCTAAGCTTTCTCTTTTCCAGGTTGAACAACCCCAGTTCTCTCAGCCTTATATCAGATACAACAATTTTTATTGCACAGTTGCACAGTTTATAGCATGCAACACTAATATTGTGGTTTGTGTAGCACTGAGCTGGTTAGCCCATGGGAAGGATAGCCCTTGTGACTCTATAAAGTTATCTCAATTCTGACTTGATGAAAAAAATTTTAAAAAAACCCTTGTCACTACCTACTGGTTACTGTTAGCTAAATTCTGTAAAATATTGGTAGTTAAGAGCTGTGGGAAAACACCCCAAACTTAGGTGCCTTTTTTCAAGAATAATCAGTTTTCATCCTTCTGATCTTACCCCTAAAGATGAAGTACTGAAACAAAAATGTAGTTGGTTTTTTTTCCTAAATTAGTCAGCAACATATTTTTATAGTTAGTGACATGTCTTCCCTAGCTTGTGTTTTACCAAAGAGACGCAAATGATCTGTGTGCGTATGTATGATTTCCCTGGGGGATACCACCCAGGGTGCCTAACAATTATACCTGCTTCTTTGATGTTACAGTTTGTTACTATATTGGTGCTGGATGAATCACTGATGACCCCTTTTTCTGTCACTTCAGAGAACACAGAAGTATGTTCTGTTAACAGCAGTTCTTCAGGGCTTGTTTCAACATGTCACCGCTCTTGGCTTTTTGTTTTCCACAAGTGCTGTTGTAAATCCTAGAAAATGTCACAAGTGAATTCTATGAAAACTTCTTTTTTCCTAAAGTTTCCTGTAAGTTTTTTTACAACTTGTAGTTGTAAAATCAGACATTACGATACTATATAGGATTTTCATGAAAAGAGCTTGCTTTTTAAGTAATGCTTTATAAGTAATGGCTTATAATGTGCCTCCTGTGGATAGTCCTGTACAGGGCCCAGGGTTGGACTCTGTGATCCTTGTGGGTTCCTTCCAACTCAGCATATTCTGTGATTGTGACTTTGCTGGGTACTTGGCCAGAGTGGCGGTAAAACCAAATCTGTCAAACGACAGGGAATGGGAGAATTCCCATGAGTCTGAAATCCCACGCACACTCTGAGAAACACACCAGGAACAGACGTGATGAAATAGTTTCACTTAAATCAAGTTAACCATACTTTGAGGAAGAAGTTATAAATGTTTATCTTATTTTTAGTGCAGTAAAATCTTGAGTGACAGTTCTCATGACTGTACTGAGCAAGCAGTTCATTACTCTGGTGGATAGACTGTTACACATAGAAAGAAAATTTTCAAGCACAAATTTTCTTCAGTTTAAAACACAGAGATTCATTTAATAGAATCAGCCAACCATGAAACGTGATTGCACAAAATGAGATAAATGACTTACAAGAATATTCTTCTTCTTCTTCCCCTAGTCAGGGGGAGGCAACGGCCTTGTTGAAGGCAGTGGGAAAAATTAATGGCCAGTGTACAAAAGACAGTGAGTAAATGCCAGTTAGGAAACAGCTTTGTGCAATGAGTGATCTACAGTCTCAGAGTGAATGCTTAGGTGAGGTACTAGATAAGAGTGGCATAATGTATTTGGAGACATAATGATAACTTTCCATCACCAACAGTATATATGGTTTCCTTTAAGTGGGATTAACAAAATACTCCAAAACAGTGAGCATAATCCAAGAAGCCATCTCTTCTGTCTAATCTGATGCAAGAAAGACGTCCCAAACCCAAATTCAATCAAAATTCATCAATTTGATGCTTTCAAAGAAAATTATCCTTGAGCATATTCAGTCATTTTGCAACAAATCTAAAACTGCTTCCACAATATTCTCATGCCAGTCATGGAACACAAGGAAAAGAATGGTACTAGTTAACATGATGAAAAGCAATCCAGAAATAAATATGCTCATTTTGTGGCATAATTTTCCCCTACACCTTTCTCTCAGCTGTTCTTTGTCTCCAGCAAGCAGTATCTCCCTTGATGTTGATGCAGTTCATCTCTGTTCACATTTGAGGCACGAGTCTCTCTCGTCATGTTAATACATGAGATAATTCACAGCTGTTTTTAACCTGTACTTACTTGCATGTCTGCTCTGTTTGAAACCTAAATATTTATGGCCAAATCTTAGCTCAGTAATGTTTTAATTGGGTCTCACTCTATTGATTGATCCTTATTTTGGTTGGTGTCAGCATGAATGAGGTTGGGTTTGAACATGGAACCCTTAGTGGGTAAAAACTGCTACCTTGGATACCAGGTCACAGAGGAGGGAGGATGTACCACTTTTTCGTTGCTGTTGAGTGGACTCTTTGAGATGGTTTTGTCTATTTTTAGTCAGGCTAGAAATGGTAGCCTTGAATTGTATCTCACCTCATAACTTGTTCCTGCATCAGTGTCTTTTCACCAATCTTAGAGATACTAAAGCAGCATAAAAAGTTCAGCAGCACTGGACAGCATTAAGTATTTATTAAGTATTTTATTATTGCTTAGGCTTTGCATGTATTTATGAAGGCTTTCTAGGAGCATAATATAGTTAAAGCAGCCTTTTTCTTGCATCATAATGACTAAAAATCAAAATGAGATAGGCTTGTGAATTGTTGTAAAATGCTTATCATCTCAGTCTTCTTGGAAGAGGAAATTAAATGTTTCACATTGATGTGAAATACAAGACTTAAAATTCCCACTGAGTGACTGCTATCTTTTCTGTTTCAACCACTACTTTATGTAAAACTGAGAGGGCTTTTTGGTAGCTTAGTGGTAGCCATAAAGTAGTCAATAGACTTATTATAGTATTTTAAAGTATTTTTGTTTTTCAACTTCAATATATTTACTATTTAAAAGAAATGAATGTGTACTAACAGCTTCTCAGGCAGGTGAGACCTCAGGTGGCAATGCCCCAGCTCCTGTCACTGCACTGGGCAGCCAGCTGGCATGTGTGCTCTATCCAGGGACACCGTGACAGAGCCTCCAGGCAGGGCTGTAAAAGAGCAGGCTTCTGGAGAACTCTGTAATATTTGTGTAGCAGGATGCAGTGTTTCATATTGTAAAAGGAGCTGTGATAAAGGAAAACATGGCTACGCAATGATGTCTTCTTTTGTTTGTCTGTAAAAGAGGAAGAGGAAATGTGGAAAGTTGTTTTCCTTTATTTGAAGTGATGAATATGATCTATCCGTGGGACTGAAGCTCAGTAAAATTACTACCACTAATAATACATATTCCTTACTGCTGAGTGCAGACAGTTAAATGAATTAGGCTGGCAAACTCTGATCTCTAAAATACGAAAATACGCTTTTCCTGACTAATGTTTCTGAAGATCTGAATAATCACTGATTAAAGGCCATGTTGAAAATATGATAGTAAGTAGCATAAATAATATAATCAGGTTAATGCAGTCACTGTTAAATTACTGCGTTAGAGATGAAATAAATCTGTAAACTTCATTAGTGTAAAAGAATACCCATGGCTGTGTATATTGCTGTTTTAAAAAAGTTGATACATAATACAGAATATAATCTCTATAATATCCATAGGTGATGTAAATGTAGATTAGTGATCTTCAGGTCGAGCTTTGTTTGGATGAATGTGAACTGGAACTTCACAAGGCCTAAAGACTACTGCAGAAAGACTATACAGAATATTACAATTACAATTTCATTGACTTTTGCAAGTGTTCTTGTGCTTCCTTGAATAAAAAAGCACAAATTTAAAAACCTGAAGTTTGAATGAACCTGAGAAATTAGTCTTTTAAAAGCCTTTTCGAACTTTGCAACATCACAGGACAGAAGAGGTAGCTAATTTAATAATTTGGAAGTCTTTAGAGTGGGTAGCTGAATGACTTTTTATCTATTTCCACAGGTTTTCAATACATACTCTAATGAAGACTATGACAGGAGAAATGATGAAGTTGACCCAGTGGCTGCATCAGCTGAATATGAACTTGAGAAGCGTGTGGAAAAGCTGGAGCTCTTCCCAGTTGAACTAGAAAAAGGTATTGTGTCTGTGTGCCATTTCCACTTCCTGTGACACTGACAGAGCCTATCCTGAAATTTCGTTCATTTGTTGTAGTCACCTTTGGATTTCAGGAATTGTTCAGTAAGGAATTAAAGAAGCAACTTAGAAATAAGCAGTTTTTACCTTCTTAAGAGAATTTTTTTGTGACACTCCATTAACATGGTTTTACACAGTGTTTGATGTGATATGTTCATTCTTCACTGGAGGAATAAAAATCTTTGTCTGTTATTCTAAGCTCCTCATAAGGCTGCAGGTGATACTTTTTGTGTATAATTAGAATAGTAGTCAAACAGTTTTTTTAAAAGGAAGCAAAATAATATGGTCTCTTCCAACCTAGTGATTCTGTAATACTAATGTTACTGACACAGAAAGCCAAGAGGAACCAAAGCATGAATGTTTACCTACCAAATAACTGTACAGATGAATGTAAGAAGTTTATGCTTTCTTTTGCCTTTTTCACAGATGAAGATGGACTTGGAATAAGCATTATTGGAATGGGAGTTGGAGCTGATGCAGGTCTTGAAAAACTGGGAATATTTGTCAAAACAGTAACAGAGGGTGGGACAGCAGAAAGAGATGGAAGGTAAACTAGACTTTGTATTTTGAAATTTTATCAGCAATAGTCACTATAAATTGAGATTTTCAATAGGGAACAGTTTTTTGTTTAATGTATGTAATTGTAATCCAAGCTGTAAAGTTAGTAAGCTTCATTGCAAGATCCAAATACCTGATGTGGTTATGAGAAGATACTAAATTGATGCCATGAGTTTAAACTATTGAAGAACAACAGATTTGCCAAGTATATGTATTTGTGACTACTGAGAACCCAGATGCTTCAGCATGAGTAAGGCTGCTGATTCCAAACTCTGTGTCACTTTTGAAGATAGTTTAGATTATAAAGGTGTTGAGCTCCCACCTGTTCTATTGGCTTCATGCCAGCTTTAGATAGGCAATGCTTAGAAAGAGAATTCTGTTCAACATTTTATTATTTGGTCTCTCTACATTTGATATCCTTACAAAGAGATCTTGACAGGCTGGATCAATGGGCTGAGGATAACAGCACGAGGTTTGGTTAGGCAAAGTGCCAGGTCCTGCACTTGGGTCACAGCAACCCCAGGCCGTGCTACAGGCCTGGGGAGGGGCAGCTGGAGAGCTGCTCAGCAGAAAAGGACTTGGAGTGCTGGTTGACACCAGCCAGTGTGTGCCCAGGTGGCCAAGAAAGCCAAAGGTATCATGGCTTGTATCCGCACAGTGTGGCCAGCAGGACCAGCACAGTGACTGTAAACCCTGTACTGGGCACTGGTGAGGCCACACCTTGAGTCCCGTGTCCAGCCCTGGGCCTTCTCACTACAAGGAAGACACTGAGGTTCTGGAGCATGACTAGAGAAGGGGTACAAAGCTGGTGAAGGGTGTGGAGCACAAGTCTTATCAGGAGCAGTTGAGGGAGCTGGGGATGTTTAACCTGGATAAAAGGAGGCTGGGGAGACTGTGTCACTCTCTACAGCCACCTGAAAGGAGGGTGTAACCAGGTGGGTGTCAGTCTCTTCTGACATTTCTCAAGTGAAAGGATGAGAGGAAATGGCCTTAACTTGTGTCAGGTGAGGTTCAGATCAAATCTTAGAGCTTTTTCTCACTGAAAAAGACATTGGAATAAGATGCCCAGAAAGGTGGTGGAGTCACTGTCTCTGGAAGTGTTGAAGAGGCATCTGGATGTGGCAC